CAATAGGCTATTCTGCTTGAATTGGAATTAAATTTTAAATGTAACTAACGACATAAATTGGTTAGATTAAATTAAACTGGCTATTAATGTTGCTGTATAGCACAGCAATATTAATATGAAGATCTCAAACTAAAAACCAACTTAAATTATGCATTAACTGAAGTTTGGAGACGTTTTAAAATGCTTTTTTTTTCAGAAACACATCTGACAACACTTGCGACGGCTGGGCAGGGGGTCAAAACTATGTAACACAGTTGTTTACATTTTAATTAAAAATATTTGACCAAAGGAAAACCTGAAGCAGGACTAGAGAGATGAATATGATATAGATTTTTATTTCTGTGACTCTACGACCCACAGCAGACATGACATTAACAGCAGTCGTCTGAAGCTGCTAAAAATGATAGATTTTGTTTTCTGGATCTCTGACAGCAGGACTTCAATCTCCGAACTCGTAAAGTTCTTCTATTTTACTTTGCGATGTCTTTTATGAATGGACACTCCCTGGTATGTGGGGCAGGAAACATATATTCTTATATGAAGTTTTTGGGGTGGTAATTAAGTAAATTACCTCTCGCCGTGCACAAGCACCTGATACACATTCATCAGTTTACGCAGCTCATTTACACACTTTTCCTGAAGAAAGAAGAGTTTGTTGAAGCTGACGTGACATGTTTGTACGAACCCTTCCTACGAACAAAAGTAAGAGAAATTTAGGATAAGAATACGAACATGTTCTTGCATGAGGCCCAATGTTCCGACATAATAATAGTCTTAATAAAAATATGAATTTATTTTTACGATTAACAATAAAAGCTACCCTTACAACCAAAGTGGAGGAGGGTGTAGAGCRTGTTTTTCTTCTGTTTGTAACTAAGATAGTAAATTTTAACTCTGCTTTAGTCTTTTTGCCAGGAGTAAAGTGAAATAAGAAGCTTCTCAGTGAAAAAATGGGGAAGCAGAAACAAGTTTGAACCTGCGACAGGAATTGTTTAAATGAATCTGATCAGAGCTTCCAAGCTGAAGGTCATCAAATAAATCTCTACAATGAGTTAATTGTTGTCGTCTCAGCCTCATTATGAAACAGACRCAAAATGTAAAACTACGTATTCTGTTTCAGCAACAAATAGTGTGCAAACATTTCATACCTTGTAGTCGACGACTGTAGATCTCAACAATCCTGAAAGGAAAAGCGGAGAAAACAGCGTCAGTCTTTTGATACAGTTAAGTAATCACAGGCAAAAACTGGTAACCTGACCTGGTTGAGTGTTGAGTTATTTTTTGTGAGAATACCCTGTGTATCATTTCCTTTAGCAAAAAGTAGTATATGCAAGTATACATTAAGTATACTAATCTTAAACTAAAATAAAAGTGTATACTTCAAGTTTACTTTTTATGTACTTATCTGAGATATACTTAACCAAGTTTATGCACTATACTTGACTTGTACTAACAATAAAAAAAGTTACTTAGTCTATAAAGTAAAGTAAAATATACTTAGTCTATACTAATGTTTAAACTTTTGGCCAAGATAAACTTTAGTAGTACACTGAAAGTATATTTTCACACAGACTGGTTTTTTTGTAGCATATTTTAGATTAAACTAAAAGTATACTTAGAAGATTACTTTCAGTATACTTCTGAGTATACTTTTATAAAGTTATTTTGGGCCACTTTAGTCCTAGAAGTATACTTGTTAGTAAACTGCTAGTATACTTATCAGTGTGCATGGTAAATAAAAGTACACAAAGGGAAATACACTTACCTATACTTTAGTATACTTAATGACATGTACTTAAATTGTAATTCTTTGTGGTAAGTTTATAAACTTAAAAAGACATAACAGTATACTAAAAGTATACTTTTTATTAACAAAATGAAGTCCCAATTTAGTATGAACAAGTATTAAATCAGTATACTTTCTAGTACACTACAAATACATGGCGCATAGCATACTTGATAGGCTTAAACTTATACACAAGTGTACTTATTAAAATAAACTTCAAGTATACTACTTTTTGCTAAGGGTTGACATGAGTTTAAACTATTTACTTTTATATTGTTCCTTCTACTGCTCACAGCTTGTGGTGAACAAGGGGAAAAAAGTCTCAATKCTGAATATTTAAATGACATTTTATTAAAGTAAAAGTAATCACAGTGGAGTAYAGTGATGTGTTTAATGAACCTACACATTATAAAACACTGAAAATGACAAAAATATGTATAATAAAAGATTTGGCAAWATAGTAGTTTTCTTTTTCTGTACTGGGTGAATCCTGGTAAAATGATTTCTAAACATTTGATTATACAAGGTCCCAAACAAAAGCATATTATTACCATATAATCATCATATAAATTGTCGACTAAATGCCACAAATAATCGTGATGGAGTTTTATGTTAATTTTGCCCATTAGAATRTACTTTAAGAGATCAGCACTACACTTGCAGTTTGTTAGTTAACCACCGGAACGCCCATGTTCCGTTTGACACATTCGTTTTTTTTTATGGTATTTTAGATCTGGATGTTAAGGGGTTAAATGATCGTTTTTACTCTTATTCAGAGCTACTTTATAAAGATGTATTTTAAATTAAACTGAAATTATGTGTAATTATCTGTGACCGACTAATTTCTGCTGTCTTTTCATGTGTTAAAGTCCCGTCTCGTTGCCTTGGGTTGTTYGTGTGCAGGATCCTCATGAACAGAATAAACACGGCTCTTTTTGAGCGTCACCACACAACAAACCTCAAACGGCCAAATTCAGTCATTTTGCCTTTTTGCATTCCCCGCAGGCGAGCAGAAATGACCAAAACTTCACCTCCAACCTGTTGCTCTTCTCAGTGAGCAAAAAGCTCTTTGGACAAACRTGACTTCACTCATCTCAAAGTAAATGTCACGAAACCAAAGGAGCAGCGTGACGACAGTTTGGACCGACCACACGGGGAGGGAATCATCTTCCAAGAGAAAAGGTTGCAGCTGAGACCTACAGTAACTGCTTCAGGGCTTCAGTGCTTGAACTTTTGTTTTACATTTTTTATTAGCTGTTCTGTTCTCCCATTCTGATATTTGTGTGTGGTGAAAGACATCTGAACCAAAACTAAGRCATGTGCCCCTCTGAACTGTAATACGAAGGAGAGACAACCGAGCCTCTGTTTAAAGGCACCTGCAGCACCGGAGACAACATAAAGATGGCTGGAACTCATCAGTTTTTCAGATATTGAGAATAAAGTTGATGTGGCAGCTGAGTCATTTTCAACACACACTCTGAAGATGACATCTTGTGGTTTGATCAAAGAGACTGCAACTCATTTCTCACCATATATAGTTTAAAAGTCTGACATGAGCAGGGAGTATCAATTTAGAAATGCTGGACCATTAGTTGTCCCTTATCTTAGMGTGTAGAGGGGACTTGCAAAATACACTCTGTCTTGATAGCTTGAAAAACAAATGAGGTGTTGGCTTCCATGTTGGTGTGTGCCTGCATCWAGGCAAAAGAAAGGTCCCAATATGGGATGGGCGATATGGACTAAAAAATGTATCACAATAATTTCTAGGTTTTATCACAGTAATAATACTGTAAGTGACAAAAAATATTTATATCAGCCCAATCTTTTGTATTATAAATACTGTATATCACTACATTCTGTCTTGAGAGCCCTAAAATAGTAGCCACTAAACTACATTAATTAAGTTCAAGTAGTACACCTGTGTTGCAAAACTGACACCTATTAAACAAGTCTGAAATATGAAAACAAAGTTAACATTTATTTAAATGTTTTACACCTTCAAAATGAACTTGGCTTATAAAAATCACAAAGTGGTACAACTGTAAATACGTGATAAAAAAGTAATTATAATTTCAATAAATTCCAACGAACATGTAAAAAACTGAAATCGTTTTTCGTGCAAAGCTTCAGAAATAAGGCTGRCAGGAATMTCTGTATATGCTTTACACCTTCAGATTTTTGGCCAAAAAGACYAACTGTATACGCGGTGGGTTTTATTGTTTTTATTGTGAGATGACAAATTATTACCATGGCCAATTTCTTTGGCAGTATATCACACACAATAACATATCGCCCATCCCTAGTTCCAGTCGAAACCTGGGTGTTCACATAAAAAAAATCCAAGGTATGCACCGCCTTATATATGTAAAGCTTGTGAGCTGGATAACTTGACAAATAAGCAACGAGCCGACTTCCAGTTTGGTGCTTGGCTGCCTCTGGATGTAASCAAGGTCACTATTGAAAATTGGGTCACACACAAACATATACACATCCTTGTACTTCCATCAAACTGAAGCAAGGCTGGKTTATCCGATGAACCTCATGGCTAATCTGTTAGCTTAGCGTTAGCCATTTCATAAATACATAAAGCAGGGTTGCCAATTGTACCGTATTAGCTGGGATTTCTCGTATTTTCAGCCAAATTGAAGGGTTCTATATGGGACACTCTTTTTCCTGTACCCTGAGTTCAACCTGCAGTCAGAGCTATCAAGTTACTGCAGGCAGGAAAACATTTGAATAGTGCCCCAAACTGAAGGGGGACCCAAAGGGACGATACTGTAGTGGCCAAATGCAATGACCATTGAGGGCATTGAAATGACTACTGTCGTACATGCGCTACCCCCTCTGAAATAACAATCTGGCCCTGAACTGAGGACTTTTTATTGATTTCTATTTGTTTTTGTAACTGCATTTATGCCTAACCCAGACATTTTCTCTAACCCTAACCCGAACCAAAACTTAGTTCACACCTTACTATAGGCTTAAATTTTAGTCAGCAAGGTTTTGTACTTGTAAATCAGACTTTGTATTTGTAGATTATGATTTGTAAGTTTTGAATATGTAAATAGGTATGTGTGTGTGTGTAAAATAGATTTGTATCTGTAAAAATAAAGTTTGTATCTGTAAAAATAAA